ATTGGAAAACATTGGAAAAAAAGTTTCCATAATGATTATTCAGAGGCATTTAAATAATCTTGGGTATTAAAAAAAGCGTTCTTTAGTAATGCCAATACTTAGTGACCAACAGAAAAAAAACAGGTAGAATGGGTTCAAAAACATATTAACGATAATTGGGACAAAACCATTTTCACTGATGAAACAGCTTTCTGTTTATTTCATAATACTGTACAAAGGCCCGCAACCAACTCGTGCTATACCAAAAAATTTTTTCTTGAGGTGATTTTTTTAAAAAAGGAAAAACAAATTTATTTTGTTTTGAAAACATAATGAATGGTGAATTTTACGTAAAAATTCTTCACGATTATTTACCTGAAATCAAGGAGATGCTAGTGTAATGGTGTAACGGTGAGTCTGTCACTCACTCTAGCAGAGATTCGCATAACCATTATTGGGTAAGTAAATGAAAGGGTGATTTGAGACGTGTTTGTATTTGACCGAGTCTTAATTAATTTTCTCACTAATTTCTTGTCTCTTTTCTTCTACTTCTCTATACTTTATATGTTATTTATACTTTACATTTGGCTATTGCGACTTAGACAATAATAACAATTGATGATACGGTGACATGGCCAAAGCTAAATCACATAATTCTTTTCACAATCCTTCCCGTCCTTCCTTTATTACCTAATTATCACAGCCGACTTACCCCATTGTTACGACGATCGGTCATGTGACAACGTCGCGTCCTGTTACACTAGGAAAGAAGTGGTGTTTCCAACAGGATAACGATCCGAAGCATACATGCAAGGTTGCTAAAAAATTTATCGACGAAATATCCTTGACGTTATTGAGTGACCCTCCAATGGTCCAGACTTGAACCCTATCGAAAACTGTGGACTGAGTTAGTGCGATCAATGAGACAACGTTGTAAAATAGTAATTGCCAATAATGGCGAAAGAATATCATATTGATTTTTTTTTGTATAAATCACATGCTATTTAGCGTCATATTGGTTTATTTTTATCAAATTTTATTCATTAGTTAAAGCACAATAATAAAATTTCCAAGTCCAATTTTTTTTGATACACTGTATACATGTGTTAAAAGAGTTTTATAAATATCCTTAAAAATTCTGAATTATTTGTAATATTTTTTTGACAAGTCGTCTTTTGAGGTCCTTGATTGAAAAGAAAAAACAACTCATTATATTTTTGGCTATAAAAATCATGAAAAAATATATCAGAATAAAATACTTAATAAAATTTTTTTCATAAAAATAGCTAATGGGTGTTTATTACATGTACAGTATAATCATTTTTATCTGATTAAGTCAGATTTCCCATCTAAAAGCCTTTATGCCTGTTTTATCTTCCTATCATTTATCCGCATTTCAATCATCCCATCAAATTTAAATTGAACTTAGGTCTATTCCAAATTGATTCGACCATTTAATCCTATTCTCTGATGCTCTTGCGTGTTGTGTTTTCCATATGACGAAAGTAGTTACTTCTCATTCCGATAGGAAAGTTAGCGGTGATTTTGGAAGTTCCGGAAAGTGCACTCTCAATAATGTTAAGAGCATTAAGTGAATCGGTTGAAGACATCATAACTTTTCTATCATCTGTAAGCCAATAGAACATCCATGTATTATTTAAATCTGTGAGAACAATAAAAACGGCATGATTTGAAATAATATTTGTCGCAATAAGCTCTGCAATAGCTTGAGTTGTGTCAGATTCTTGAATATTTTTCTTTAGCTTAAACCCGGCTCGAATCCCACTGCGAAAATTTAAAGCCCCGACAAAGTGTCGGTCCATGACCAATACATCCGTTGTCCCACTTATGCTGTAAGGAAGTGCGGCATAATTGACATTTAAGAGATCTTTCTTGAGCTTTGAATTGTACCAGACATATTTCGAGGAAATAGAGACATTTTCGTTTAAATAACTCATGTATCCTCGCTGAATCACCTCATCAGTTTCATCCTTTTGATCTTCCGCGTGTTGATCTTCGTTTTGTTCATCCCACACAAATGGTCTATCAAAATTCTTTGTTAAAGCCACAGTGATATTGACTACATCTTGACGAAAATGCAAATGATTTAGCAGTTCATCCAGATTTTTTTGGCTTATCTTGGAGAGAGTAACATTCTGCCTTTTCAGTTGACTGTAATCAAAAATTGAAGCTAAAAAAATATAAGCACTAAGTTAATAAACATACTATACAACACTCGTCTCAAGTGTATTTCCATTGTGCTAGCTATTTTATAGATTTTTTACACCCGCATTCGTCAACTTTTTCTATAAAGTATCTTTTCAACTCAAAATGTAATGAAACATAAGATCCACATACCAGAAGTTGCGGAAAATTCAGGAACTCCGACAATTATGTGAATATGATCGTGAGAGAATTCTGTAAAAATCTCTTTAACTTTTCTTGTAGGGAGCAACACCTGTCCGTTCAAATCCTTCTCAATGTCGGCATTTTGATCGCTGAGAGCAGTTCGTTGAGGGTTATCCGAATTAAGATCGATATTAACTTTATATATAGTGAGGTCCTTTGCTTTGACGTTATAGAAAACTCCGACTTTACCAAATATGACATTTTTGAGCTCACCAATGGTCAGATTCTCATCATAATTAACCGGGAAAGCAGAAGTTTCTGGATCTCCAAAAACTAAACAAAAAAGTAGTGCCTCTTTAGATGACATAGTAGCTCAAAAATACGGTTCAAGAAAAAATTTTGTAGCCGCACATAGGAACATACAATTAAAATACACACGAAATCCTGATCACATAAGATCGTTACTCGAAATTTTATACAGTACCATAAATAGCTTCTATTTACCATTTATATTAATCAATCATTTATGAATTGCCTTATGTAATAATCAATAGGCAACCCGTGTCGTTTTGATATTTTGGAAATATTACTGTAAATATCTTGTTTATCTATATAAAGAATAAAATGGGTTTAAAAATTTTTTAAAAAAACTCATATATTTTAATAATAAATATAGTTGTTAATAAAATGTCTTTATTCTATTTTATTTTTTTAAATCACAACAAGCATTAAATATGAAACTTTTTATTAAATGAGAGTTTATAATCATTATATTAAAGATCTTTGCATAAATATAAATTAATTCCAATTTATCGAACTTTTTATTATTAATATTAACTTTATAATTTATGCAAATCCTATTTTACTTGTAAAAAAAAGCGAAAAGTATCTTATCCTCAAATAAATTCTTTTTCTTTTTTAGCTTTATAATCTTATTATTTTCATAATGAATTGTAATTTAAATTGTATCAAAATCCAGTAAAATAATAAAATAGTAATTAATAGTTAAAATAAAACAAATAAATTATTTAATTTATTTACTTAAATATAACCTGGGTTATTGTACATGTTATTGTAATTACGTAGTAATAATTTTTTTATATCGAAAATCTTAAAATAAATATGATACTATTACATTTATAAAAAAAACCAATTACAGTTTTTTTAAAAGTTAATATTAATGAAAAATCATATTTCTTAGTTAAAATATCTAAAAAATTTTTACTAAAAGAGCTTACTATCTTTAATAATAATTTTAAAATATTAGAATTATAATAAACCAATATTTTTGAAATAAAATTAGAAATAAATATAATTCTAAAGAAAAAAATTTCAAAAAAAAAACTATCTAGAAAAAAAAATTAAAAAAGATTAAACAAAATAAACAAAAGAAAACTAAAAAATAAAATTGTTTTCTTGCTTATTTTTTTTTTTTTGAATGGGTGGCTTACACCTTGTTTATTAGATATTTTACGATGAGTATTGTCATATATCGTTTCTACCTCAGGAGAAAGATAAAGACGGAGAACTAGTAGCAGGGAGGCACTTTAGATGGGCAGGACCAATGTGGTATGCTAAAGTTCCTAGAGGCGTACAAATTAGTACAGTTCTGAGGTGTATGAGGTCAAATGAA